AAAATCATATATCCAATAGATTTACTCTAGAATATCCTAGCAGTGATGTACGACAATGTTGTATAGTTCGCCATCTTCAAGTGTTATAAACTTCATTGGAACTTACTATAGTTATATTATCTTAAGCCCTGCGCAATGATGGATTTATTTTCAAAAAATAAATGATCTCTTTCAAAAATTAAAATTAACTAACACATAAATATTTTCTACAAAACAATGTAGCTTTGAGTTCCTTATTGCACCAAGGGATGTGTCGAAGCAGGACTCTTCTCGTCAAGCCCAAAAATAAATTTTCAAAAATTTATTTTGTTTAATCAATTTTATTTAATTCTTTAGGGCGAAATAAATATTTAAAATCTTATCAATAGTTTGCATAATTAATTTGAGGTAATCGTTTTAAAAATGGACGGAGTAGGGTGCTAACACCTTTCCTACTTGTAATCGACTCCCGAATCCATTTCTGTTTTCAAAGATAAGCTTTGTTAAACAAAAAAGATTTTTCTAATATTTTCCTAAAATAAAATTTGGTAGCGACTCCATTATTTTTAATTTTCAATCTTTTACCATTACGTTGCGATTCGATTGCGACACTTTATTATTACTCACACTTTATTTTCAACTAGTTTTTCATTAGGAAGCTCCGAAATATCAAATTGTACATTTCTTACCTTTCTTGCACTTCTGACTTTGAACCTTTTGTCATACAGTGATTGACTCAAACAATAGAGATAACCTAAGCAAAACTCCCAATAACATTTGTTGCTTTGCCTGATTTGGATGATTTTCGAGACAAATTATGTGATGCTTAAATGTCTGCTTATGGAGTTGTGGTAAACAACTTTGAAGAATTTGAGGACGGGTGTGCTAAGGAGTACGAGAAGGCCATGAAGAAGAGAGTTTAGTGCATTGGTTCAGTATCTACATATAGCAAGGTTAGTTTGAACAAATTTGAGAGAGGAAATAAGCCCTCAATTGAAGAGAACCAATGCTTATGGCATGGCTAAACTCAATGAAACCAAGATTAGTTATTTTTGAGTGCCTTGGCAGCTTATGTAGGCTTGTTTGTTCGCTACTGATAGAAGGAACACTGACCAATATGTCATGTTTTTGGCATTAATTACGAAATTTTCATGCGAACAGTAAAATTTATTAGACTGCCACGCATTGAAGTTCTCTATGACTTGTAGTGAACTTGGTAGCCAATGATTTCGAGTCACGTGACACACTTTTACAGGAAAAGCTGATTGGACGAAGTTCGCTACCAGTGGTAACGAACTTGGATGCGTGACAGTCAGCTTTTCCTGTGAAAATATGCCACGTGTTATGAAATTATTGGTCATTAAGTTCACTACCAGTCATAGCGAGCTTCAATGCGTGGCAGCTTGGTAAATTTTACTATTCACGAAGTAGTTTGGTAAAAAATTGCCAAAAATGTGGCAGTCTGGGTCACTGTTCCCTGATAGAACTTGGGCTGACTTCAAATCAACCATATTTGGGTAGTAAAAATTGTGGACAAATCTTTGGTACATTAGATGTACCCAACTTGGTACATCTTTTTTTTCAAAAGAAGGAACTTTTTCAATGTGGCATGAAAAAAAAATTAAAAAATGGTGAATTTTTTTCCAAATGTGAAAAAAGATATGCCGCATTGGGTACCTCTGATATACCAAAGATTTGTCCCAAAACTGCAGGAGAAAATATTTCGGAGCTAAAAAATTGGTTAAAAGATGAAACATTTGATGAACGGGTCAGAGGTAGATAATTTGTGTAAAAAATTATTTCAACCCAAAATCTTGCGGCATTAGATAAGAGATTTTTTATAAGGTTATACTAATGATTTTATATCTCTGTAACACGTCTTCAGTGAAATTATATTAATGATTTTTTATTTCTCTAATACACTCCTTCACGCGAGAGTCCATTATAATACTTAATTATTTATTAATTGAATGAAGACGGAGATGATCGAACTCATAACCACATAGTCATATCAGCTCTAATATCATATAAAAAATCAATTTAACCCGCTTAAAAAAAATTAATTTACCCAAAAACCTTAAGATTTGGAATTGAATTGATTTCTTTACAACTTGTAATAAAGGGCGTGGTAGTTTCATCAATGTACTTTACAGTATACTCTTTATGCGTTGAATGTTCTGGGTTTGAATTTTAGCTTAACACTAACTATCCGTTGATCCACATGACCTATTTTATATTTTATATTAACAAACACTATTATGCTTGATTAATAGTTTAATTTGAATTCAAAATACAAATTTTCAATAAAAATTATGATATCTATAGGAATAAAAAGTTAAAAATTAATTACATTTTAATTTTATATTCTTTTTTATTTTTTATCAACACCACTATTAGAAAAGTTCTAATTATCGATGAAATTTATCAACTTAAAATATTCCATTGCAAATAGTGACAGAATTTTCAACGAAAATCCAATTCTGTAAAAAATAGAGATGGAAAATATTTCCCTCGAAAATAGAGACAAAATTTATCGACAAAAAGCATTCCATTGAAATTAGTGATGAAAATTTTCAACGGAAAAATAATTTTGTAGAAATTTTTGACGGAAAACCAATTTCGTAGAAATTTGCGATGGATTCTTTTCCATCGAAATTTGCAACGAAATTTTAAATTTCTTTGCAAATATTACGAAAAAAATCCCATCAAACATTTCGAACAAAAACACAATCAATTTGAAGCCTCGTTGGGTTGAATAATATAATATTTGCAACGGAATTTTTTCCGTTGAAATTTTCAACGGAATTAAAATCTATTGCATATTTCAACGAAAAAAAATTTCGTTGAAAATTTCAAATAAAAGAATAATTTAAAGTTTGCAAATTAAATTTCGTTGCAAATTTCAACGAAAAAAAATTCAGTCAAAATTTTTGATTAAAAAACAATCCGCGTGAAACCTCATTAGCCAATGGAAACACTTGAAAAATTTAAAATTTTCTAAGGAATTTTTTTCCGTTGAAATTTTCAATGGAATTTTTTCCGTCAAATTTTTTGAATAAAAAACACAATCCTCGTGAAACCTCATTAGCCAATGGGAACACTTGAATAATTTAAAATTTGCGACGAAAGTTTTTTTGGTTGAAATTTGCAACAAAATTTTTTCCATCAACAATTTTGAATACAAAACACAATCCTAGTGAAACCTCATTAGCTAATAGGAACACTTGAATAATCTTAAATTTGTAACGAAATTAAATTGCGTTGCAAATTTCAACGGATAAAAATTCCGTTGTAAATTTCGAATAAAAACACAATTCGCGTTAAACCTCATTAGCCAATGGGAATGCTTGAATAATTTAAAATTTGCAATAGAATTTTTTTTCGTAGACATTTGCAATGGGATTTTTTTCGTTGAAACTTTTGAAATAAAACCTTTATGTATCAATTCATTTCATTAATCCCCAACATTTTTCATAGTTCCAAATAGCTAATGGGGAAACAAAAAGCAGCAGAGAAGCAAATGCAAAGGGGAAGAAATCCATGGTTGCAAAGAAGGCAACACTGGTGGAGAAGAGGTCGAAGGTTGGCAAGAAACTACCGAATGAGGGTTGTGCTCCGCCAGGGAAAAGAAGAAAAGGAAAAACAAGAAGATGAAAGAGCGATGCTTTGATAAGAAAATTTCTGTAGTTTTTTTTTTAAGTTTTCTTTTTTGTTATGGTGATAAAGCCATAGTTTTGTTTTTGTATGGAAAAAAAGATAAATAAGAAGATAAGACCATAGTTTTTTTTCAAGTTGTAGAAATTGAGTCTGGTCGATCCTTTTGTTTGTATGAAAATGATTTGGATTGATGATGATGCACTTATACTGTTTTAGTTCTTCTGTTCTTTTTGATTTTGTCTGTCTGTTTTGTGAAGAAGAAGATGAACACAGTAGAAATGTTGAACCAGTATAACATGTGTCTTTTTTTTCTGTGCCAGAATTTCCAACAGAAAAAATTTTCGTTGGTATTTTCAATGAAAATATTTCTGTTTTTCGTTGGTATTTTCATCGAAAAATATTTTTGTAGGTATTTTCAACGGAATTTTATTGAAATTCCATTGCAAATTGTGGTGGAACTTTTTGACGAAATTTATTAAACAAATTTCGACGAAATTTATTAAATAAATATTATATTATGGCTTTATTTGTCGACGAAAAAGTAAGGCTTTTGATGGAAAAAAATCCGTGGAAATTTCCAACAGAAATTTTTTTCGTTGCAAATTTCGACAGAAAAAAATTCCATTGCCCTTCAACGAAGGATTTTTAGATGGAAAAATTCCGTCAAAAATGCATTTTCGATGGAATTTTCATCATTAGCAATGAAAAAATTCTGTCAAAAATATAGATTTTTCTTGTAGTGACAATTGATGATTTTATAAATTGTTTCTTATAACAACACGATAATAATAACAAGTATTCTATCACTAATTTGTGTATTTAATCATATTAGTATTTGGTTCTCAATAATATAATTTTACTAATGTAATAATTAATATAAATTTAAGAAAAATAACCTTTTATGCATAAAATGGGTGTGTCCTCAAAATCTTCCGAAGATTAAAGTATCAAACTATGTCATAAATTCTTATTAAATGAGAGAGGATTCCTACGAGTATTTTTTTTACTTTAAGTCAGCTTATATTTTCATAACCTAATTACTCTTTGGTTTGAACTTAATTTCATAACTTAATCTAAATGTACTTAATATAAACTGCTAAATACGTACATACATTTGGCAGTTAAGCTATATTGTTTGCCACTATGTGTATGAGTGAGAGCAAGGATATTCTTACTATGAAGTTTTTCTATTTTTAATTTACTACCACTTTAATATAATTATGTATTTTAGAGAGTACATTAAAATTTATTTTTATTTTCTTTCTATTCACAAACATTGTAGAAATTATCGACTAAAAAGTAGAATTCAACTGTGATTAGAGTGGGACCAAGTTGATAATAAAAAAATGAATGATAAAAATATCCTAACTCCATGAATGGTTAGCATAGTTTTGAAAATAATTAACAAGCCAATCATTTCCATCAATGTAGGAAATATTCATGTAGGAGATTGCTTCATAATCTCTGAGTTGCTTCCCATAAGAGACTCTAGATGCATAGTTTGCTCCAGGTCCCACACAACGGTACTCCCCAAAGAAGACGCTCCTGTTTTAACACCATAAATAACGCCCTCTCAATCAAACTGAATTATGAATAGTACAGAACCAAAATCCCAATGAAAAAAAATTTGTAAGGAAAAAAAAAAAAAAAAGCAGCAAATTTTCACCCAAAACTAATCAAAACTAAAATGAAATCGTAGAGAGTATTTTAGCCTCGCAAGACAGACACATCATTTAATTCAATGTGAAATAGACACAGAAAATAATGTGTTGAGATTAGAGAGAAAAGAGATAAATAGAATGGTAGTAGTTACAAACTGGTCTTTTGATGGATCTCTCCAATCGTTCCATCCATCAGCAGCTACGACATCAGACATGTATGTTCTTGAGAAGACCACAGTGGCACATGCTCCCCATGCTCTACCAAGCCACACTTTGCCACTTCCCAAAATGTTACATTTTACAAAAGAAAACCCACTTTGCTCCTGCAATGTTTGCCTCCCTTGTGCTGTGATTGACCCACTAACCCCAACCCAGTCTTCTTTTGCTATAGAGTTTATGATACAATCCTGCAATTCTGTCACAACTTAGTAACTGTGTTTATATATATACCAATATCTTTTTCAAACTATAATTAAACATCAAGTTCATTCCATATTATATCAATATCAGCTGTATTAATTATATACTATTAGGCCACACATTATAAATTATTTAAAAATAAAAAATTGTGAAATAATGATAAATATAATGAATTATTAATTAATTTGTTATAATTTTTAATTAATTTTACGAGTATCACACACCTTTTAAGTGTGAGATTAGTACCCCTTAGTTTTAGATTGTGGCACTCTCTTAATTTAAATCACGTTTGACCAGTCAATAAAATCTTATTTAGAAATGTAAAGATATTATTTATTTATGGGAAAAATATTTCCGCTTAATGCAGAGAAGTTATCTGCATTTATTTCCAAAACGACGTCGTTTTGGTATTGAAATCTTAAAAAATTATAAATATAAAGACTATTATAACCCTAAAATAAATTAAAATTACAAAAACATCATGATTTCTGTCCCAAAACAACGTCGTATTGGCTTACTGCATATAACTTATCTGCAGTAACCGCAGAAAAAGCGAACCTTTTATTTATTTATTTCCAATTGATTGTGGTCGACCCAATAAAATCTTATATGGTTAAAATATTTAAAATATTATTTGTCTTTTTTTTTGAACCAACTGATATTTTTTCTAGGCTCCGATCCCTTTACAAAATTTTGTAGCTCACTATTATTTGCAAGCCACAACTTTGTCAAATGAGTAATGACAGCTAATAAGACGAACTATTATTTACAAACTCCTAGACAAGTTGTCATGTAACATGTTGCCCTATCTGAAATAACCAAGTTCACCTAAATTCAATTAGGGTTTTCATTTTATCCCTTAACATAATACAACAAATTTTCCTACTCTCACAACATTTTGTGGGACCCACATTTTTTAAAACAAAAAAATAAATAAAAAATTAAGGCACGCAAAACGAATCTCTATAACATTACACAATCACTTTTCCTACAACATAACTCTTATAAAACCCATTCAATTATGATAGAGTCAATAAAATTCAGTAATAGCCAGCCATATTGCAGTTTCTGTGGAGCGTGTTAAAAAATTTTCGTGGTAATGGATTGCGGTAGACAAGACATACTTCAAAGAGAAGGCAGTATTTTTTTTACCTCATAAAGTGATCTAGCATTTCCAAATATGAAATCAATGGATCCTTGTATGAAACATTCTTTAAAATAATGTCTCCCACTTTCATCATTGAGTGTGTCCTGCGCACCATAGAACCCACAACCATAGAATGCGGATTGATCACCTGTAACTGTCAATGCAATTGCCTGTGCCCCAACCTCTCCCGGTAACGGCCTAGGAGCTGTGTTCTGTAAAATATTAAAAACAATCAACAATTTAAATTGGTACGACGAAAATCATATTAATAATTTTATATTATATTTTTTTAATATGTCGCATCGGATAATATATAGACTCCACTATTTGTATTAAGAAATTTATATGCTTTAATATCATGATGTAAATCGAATGACTGAACTAACAACTTAAATTGTTAGGTGAAGGTCTTCTTTCTCTTAACAAAATATCCACAATGCAAGAATAGGCGAACAAAGTAACCAATAATGAAATTGCTTACTTTAAAGCTGATATTGTAAGCCGTGAACTTAGAAGCAAAGATGGCAAACGTGTAGCTATAGGAAGTCCCTCCGGTGGAATTAGCAGTGTCATTCCATTCTATGATTGTATTAAGGTAACCTTGACCTTCAAGTATCAAGTTTGTTTTGTTTGCCTGCACCACTACCTTCTCCCTGTGATTTGTATAAATTTATAAATATTTGAACTGAAATAGTGTATATAATTAGAGTTTTATAATTCTCACGAGAAAAGAATTCTTATGCTATAGAGACAAAAAGTCATTTGAAACCCATATGTTAAAAAAATCATATGCGGGACCTATGTCATCATGGAAAACGAAATATGTATAGAAAATCTTTTTCTTTCATGTTACATGAAAATTATAAAATCCATATAATTATGGGTTTAATGTCTTTAGGAGACAAAATTATCTTCTACACACATAAAAATGTGTGGAACTTATATTATTTTTTTCTCTTTTCTTTTCACATGGTCTCATATGGGTCTCACGTACTTTTATGTATGTGTGCAACATTAGAAATATCAAACTCTCTCTCTCTCTCTCTCTATATATATATATATATATAGCTCAACATAAGGATAAAAATTCAAAAAGAGAACGACCTGTATGTACCAGAATCGATGATAATAAGGGTGTTATCAGAGCTAGATTCAGGAACAGCATCTATTGCTTTCTGCACGCTACTGAAGTTAGCACAACCCTTTAAGTCAACCGTGAAAACAAGAGTCACATTATAGTATGGAGTAAGCCTAGAAGCCCATTTGGTCTTGTTACATATGTCCTTATGCCTCTTCCGATGATGATGTCTCCCCCAAGCAATACTTGTTAGCAATAAGGACACTAAGTCTTGAACACCACTAATCTTTATAATCTTACTAAGTATACCTAGCTGAGAATTGAAACTATCTTGAGGAGTAATGGCAGTGGTAGCGGTGGGGGAAGGTGGCGTGGTATGATGAACAACTATGATAGAAAAGAGAGAAATGACAAAGGCAGAGAGCCAAAAGAGGGTTCTGTTGAATCTCATGTTTTGGCTTTATGAATTGGTTAGTACGTTTTTGTTGTTTTGAGCTAAAAAACAGGTTTGGGGTGGAGGGGGTGAGTGAGGTTAATGCTTTTATTATGTGCATGTGAAGAGGGTGTGGGAGTGATGCATGATTGGAGTAGGAGGTAAGAAATGTATGGGCCTATGTCATGTCTACGCGTGTGGAGGTTATTACTTATATAAAGCCTGCTTTTAAAAGCACTATGGATCTCTAAAAAATTGAATTTGATTCTAAGACAAAGATATGTGCAGTAATTGAGATTGGAAAATGGACAAGCTAAGTCACTATAAAAAAAAAAAGATTGAAATTGAAAAAGGTGAGGATAAAATAAGCGTAGGTTCTTGGGAGGTCATTTATTATTATTGGGGCGGTGGGAGTGAAGTTTGCTTCTTAGCTTGTAATGCACTGTGTTCAGTTTCAACTTATAATATACTTTGAATTGAATCCACTGCACCGCACCTCTTGAACTTTTGTCTTGTGCATTACACTATTTCTTGTTAATTCATATATACTTGGCTGCGAGAAATTCAGGGTCTTTTGTGTGCTGCAAAACCAAGCGGTGACGGTGTATACACAATACATACGCGCAAATACTAACATAAAAGTATTAGCACAATGTTCTTGCGTATCAGCAAATTGGTAGAGTATGCTTGAAAACTGTAAACCTACTCATCCGAATAAAGAAAGATTAATCTAATTACTTGCAAAAAAAAATTTTTTTACTAGAACCTACGAATTCAATCCTTCACAATTTTTGGCCTGTGTTGGGTTAAAATAAATTAAGAGCGTAAATAATTTTAGCTGATATATTTTTCGGTACGTCAACAGTACTCCAACTTGAACTATGTCAAAGTGACATTTCAGTACATGTATTAATATTAGCATCACGAGCATATATCATATACCTGTCACATAAAACCCCACACAGCACCCATAGAACGAATGATTCAAGGGCCTCCCACAAAAGTACGAGGCTCGTGTTAAAATCCCAACTTGGAAATCTATTGTTATGTTACTTAACATAACATTCATATTCTTACAATTATATGTGGGTTTCATTTTTTAATTTTTCTCTCTCCACTCTTTTTTTTTTCTCTCCTCTTTATTTTGAGAGTAAGAATTATTATTTATGGGAATTGTGTTAGTCCTGTTACATGACAAACACCTCTCATCCTACACACACAAAATCTGTCGCTGTCAACCTTTGTTTTTGAAACTCTCATGGGACCCATTCGTTTTCATTAGTGCAGAAAAAATATTTCTCTTCTCTATAACATAACAAATATATTCTTCATTATTTATATCATGGAACATAACAATTCATTTATTTTATAACTATCTATGCCAAAATAAAAAATCACATTAAATAAATAAATTAAAATCGTACATTTCTCTCTTCGGTTTTTAAAGGATGCTTTATCTTGTGTGTATTAACTTCTTCTTCTTTTTTGGTGAATGTGTGTATTAACTTTTACACGTGCTTTCTTTTCTTCGGCCATCAAGTGATCAAAGCTTTTTGCGTCTTTTCGGGATTTCACTTGCCGCTTCTTCTCTCGTAGGTGTCACGTTCTCTTCAGTGTAGTCATGATTTTTATTTGCTTATTTTTCTCTCTCTTTTTTTTTGTACATTGCTTATTTTTCTCTTTTGGTTATCTTCGTTGCGTCAATTTATGAGAAATTCAGAATTTTATTGTTAATTTGTCAAATCGGAGTATTTAAATATGCAAATCAATTTTTCAATTTTTTGTTTTTCCACTTCAAATAATGTGCACATAAAAGAAAATAATAATAATGATAAATAAATTAATTAAAGCGCACATGAAAACTAATAATAATTATATCTAATGGTCAACTTTTCAAGTGAAAACATACTCATTTCCAAGGAGCGATGACTGACAAGAGTAATGCTTTTGAAAATAATAATAACTTCTATTGTGAAGTCAATATATTTAATCAAGTTTTCAGTATCAACCAATCTATAACTAAAGTTAAAAAAATCATCGGTTAGCATATGAGAATTAAACAGGTGGCCGGGTGTAAAAATATATGTTCTATCCGTTTTGAAAGCATTTAAATTTTAATCCTGGACACGTCCCGAATTTTGAAGTAATCTATAAGAAACCTATAAAATTACTGGAGGAATAAATAGAAATTAAAAATTAAAAAATCATGTTATTTAAAATCATATAAAAATATTCACTCCCAATAAAATTATATATTAATTGGCTCTGAATGGAAAGGAGTGTGTATTAAGATCCGCGGTAGTTACCCAAAAATTTGTATCCATTTTGTATGATATTATGCACGAATCAGAAATATTATGGCAATTCAAGATTTTTCTCACCCCTTATCTAGCAAGTCGAGATTTCATTTGTTACTTATCTAGCAAGTCGAGATTTCATTTGTTAGTTGGGTGAAATTGAAAACGCAGTCACGTTGAGCGTTGTTCTTCAACTATTTGGGGAGGAAAGAAGAGGCCGTGCAATAGGTTTCAATTTCATGCATTCAGTACCAAAGTTGCTTGCTCTGTGCACTTCATGACTGGGGAATAAGACACTTCTTTCATCATCCGATCCCTCAAAAAAATGACGAGGGTTTCCACCACTTCCTTACTCCATGCATTCCATGAATTCAAATAGCCTTGTCAAAATTCTAAATCACACAAGAAACAGCCACTCAGCATATAAAAATGCAGTGCTGTAATATCAGTTACAACATGTCTCCCGATTCTCTTCTTTATGTGGGGGCAACAACGAACTAGTGGCCCAGTCATATCAGGCAAAATAAAGAGATTGCATACTTTAAAGCACTAGTCCACGATCATTAAATTTTTGTTTTTTTTTGTATTACAAAAAAAAAATATGTTTTTTTAACAGAAACTATAATTGAAAATGGACATATGACATTAAATATGTTTAAACAATTGGCAGGAACGGGTTCAAGAATGGCTTCAACTAGCCAAAAATTTATACACATATAAAACAAGCAGAGAGGGAAAAGGAAATTGAGAAAACTAGGGGTTTTCCCCTTTCATGAATGACCTTTTCCTATAAAAAACTGTCATGATTGATTATTGATGACCCGACATGGTGGCACCATTTTATGAAGCATATTTGTCCCTTTGAATGTCACCATTTGATTACAGGTCTTTCTGTAGTTGGTAAGCTGCAGCACAAGGATAAACTCAATTATTTCTTTTTTTCAAGTTGGAGGCGGAGTTGTTGTGACAAGTAATGCAGATAATTAAATTATCAGCGACAGAAGCCTAATTCTACCTCAACTTCAAAAATGCTAGAGTGAAGAAGTGGCAAAATGTTAACATGTCTACCACCTTGAAAGTAGTGAAGCAGAATATATACCTGGTCTGGTTTCATCTTGCTAAACCCAAATTTATCAGTCCATATGGATTCTGCTTCTTCTGCAGCTGGCAGCACAAGGTTCTTCACATTTAAAAAAGCCAGCAGCCTCTCGATGCAGGAGAAGAGTGTTTGGAAATAACCCTGGTTAGGTCAAACCGATATAACTATAATTAATGCACTACCAAGACATAGCAACAAGTGAATAGAATATACTGCAATCGATTTCCAGATAACAGAAAGCTTCAAATAGAGGAAAGAATATGATGCAAGGAAGGACAACCAGAAATACAGTCTCACACCTTTCCATGGTTCCTGTTAGTTGTTGCAACTAAAGGGAGTTCAGCAATATCTGTGCCAAAAATTCGAAGCATGCCCGCAGACACCACACATGAACTTCAATGTCAAAGAAACAAACAGTAAACAGTACAGTAAGTATTAAATAATAAAAGTCAAATACAGAAAACCACTTCTTACTTGACCATTAATAATGCACAATACATTCCTCCAAACTCCTGACCCCGCACATTCCTTCTGCATGTCAAGAGATACGTTAAATGAAACAAAGGAAAGAAAGAAATTAAAGAGAAAAAGGAGATGAAACAAATGCTTTGAAAGGAGTTTCTACCCATAAACCATGGCCGGAATAAGATCACGTCCACTAGCTGCGTCAATTATAGGATTAAAACATTCCTGTAACAAGTAAGGGAAATCTCAATCATAAATCCAATTAATGTATTAAATGATCTTATGGAAAACTCGAAAATGGTTTCCTAAGGGATAAGAGAAATGTTGTACCACAGAAATCGACATTGTAACACATTACACACAAGCAATGTCCCACGCAAAGCTCATATAATTACTGTTATGATTCAGTTGTAAGGTATGAGACTTGGAGTCCTACATTGGAAACATAAGGTTCTAGTTTGGGGTTTATATGGACTTTGGGCTCTCCTATCTTACAAGCTAGCTTTTGAGGTGAGACTCTCCCAAGATTCGTATCAATTGGTGTCAGAATTTCCACCATGTCTCCTAGTTTCAATCGTGCGACACGATTGGTGATGCTGGCATTGCAGTGTTCGCCCATGACTGGTAAAAGCGCCAAGCTAGGCCACATAGGCGCCGGGGCTGCGCAGTGTGGTGGGATGTTACGATCTAGTTATAAGGTATGGGAGTTGGAGTCCCACATCAGAACCATAAGGTTCTAGTGTGGGGTTTATATGGACTTTGGGCTCTCCTACCTTACAAGCTAGCTTTTAGGGTGAGGCTCTTCTAAAGTTTGTATCAATTATAGTACATAAATATTGCAAAAAAGTTTATACGAGTGGTGACTTGCATATTAGTATAAAACAAATGAAAAGACACTAAAGCTTGTCATGACAAAGGGATCAGAAACTTCGGCAGAATGAAAATCATCTTAAAATCACACCAACAAATGTGTGAACATGAAGGTGTGGACCTGCGAAAAGAAAACCACGAGAACAGGGGCAGGAAGGGACGGGATTTGCTGCAAAAGAGCACATAACACCAGTGGGTTGCTGGAAAACAACGGAAAATGATGAATCTCAAACCAGAGGGAAGACATGACAGAAATCAGAAAGGGCCACGATGGAATTCACAAAACCACCAGTAGCAGCCACATTGGCTGCTGTGTCAAAACGCGACGCGATGTGCAGAGCATCACGGGAGGATACGCAAAGTGAAATCCCATGATTGACTACCCTATTCAACATTTCCCTAAAAAATGGTTTATACTTCATATACATCTCCAATTACTGTGGAATCACAAGCTACAACCACATCAAGGTGTGAGATGAAGAAGAATTAATTCAGAAAAATAAGGGAAATTATGAAAACTATCGAAATATAGTTTTTCCAAAGAGAAAAAATCCAAAACATCTTACTAAAAAAACCCAAAACAGATCCATCATTTGTTGGGGAACAAACAAGGACAATTACCACCATCCACTGAAGGATAAGAAAAAAAGATTATGAATAAATTCAGAAGGCTGAGCAGAACTTACATGAAAGATTGAAACAGCCTCCAAAAGCAATGGTCTAGTTTCAGGAGAAGCAATTTTGCCATTAAGAAGCCTCCATCTTACATCAATGTCTTTGATGGGTTGTAATTCTTTTTCCACTAGCTTCTTATTTATAACACCCAAGAGAGATTCAGGGAGTCTCTCAGCTTCCCTAACCAAAAGGTTCTCCAAAGTAGAATGTGCTCTCATGCAATCACTGCAACAAAGCCAATTCCCTTCTGGCAATTCCTGTAATTGGTTCCAAACATATTATGTCCAACAGACAATAAAGAAGTTGGCTCCCAAATACCATTTATTCACATAAAAAGACATAGCAATAACTGCATACCTTTAAATATGCTATCTTGTGATCCCTCAAACAGCCAACATGATATTCCTTTTCACACTGCAGCAAACATGAAGTTGATTCAGTAAAATCCACAATCATCCCTAAAGAATTAGATACTCCATACTTGCATCAACCATTAAACCCTCCTACAAGCAAGAGAAACTTAATTCTACATGTTACAGGGGTCATGTAGGTGAAATTAAAATCAAAACTGGACTAGAAAGCATACCTGGTCACACAGTATTATTGTGCGTGGACCAAATCCAGATCTGCTGAAGTCAACACCCCTACATGTACAATATCTTCTCTTTGTATTAGATAGCTCAGCGAAAATTATTAATATACAATATTGGTTTATGGTTAACTTAAATACAGAATATATCCGCACGGTGACAATTGCCAATTTCAAGTATGACGTAGATAAAAGTTGAGTCTATACAATAGTTTCGAATCTTCACAATGAACTTATTACCCGCATAAAGCGCATCCACTAAGCTCAGCTTCAATGTCTTTGACTATGCGTATGCATCTATTTGTTATCTGTTCAATTGGATCCACTCCTTCAACCCTTCCAGCTGCTACAGCATTGGCATTGTATGCTACAAACTTTTCTCTCTCGAACATGTTTTGGCAAAATTGACAGTACCAGTCACCACGTGGAATACTTGATAGAGATGCACATTCTGTACATTTCCAAACGTAAAAACATAAAAATTCACTTAGAATATGACTATTTTGTAATATACCAAACAAAGCAAATATTCTTCATGCTGCTTCCATCCAGTTAATCTTGAAACAAATTTAGTCATTAAATAAAAAAATTCAGCTATTTCTGTATGAAATTGAAGATTAATACCATATAGAAAGTTCTAGAGAAAAATCATATAAAACCATTAATGTCGCCTTCACTTAATAGCTTAAACTTTTGGGTTGAATTAACGCTTTACATGATATCAAAGCCTCTATGACTAAATGGTCACGAGTTCGATCCTCACCGCTCTCATTCTATTAAAATAATAATTAAATATTGTGATGTTTTCTAGCATAGGTAAGAAGGGCTTGTGCATTATTCACCCTTCAAACCCAATAGGCTCTTGTGTGAGGGGGTGTTTTAGAGAAATATAATATAAAAAACAATTAATTGGCCTTCACCTAATAACTTAAGCTTTTGGATTGAATTACTTCTTTAAATAGTATCTGTGGCCAAGTGGTCACAAGTTTGATCTTCACTGCCCTCCATTCTATTAAATATAATAATAATAAATATTATAGAGTTTTTTAACACTAGTCAAGGGCCCGATGCATCGTCCACCCACTTAATAGCTTAGGCTTTTGGGACTTGTAAGCATTTAGATAACAAATCTAGTACAACACAACTATTAATATTGCACAGAATAGAAAAACAAGCATTTCCCTTGTTCCTTCTCACTTTTACAGAAGAGGCATGTGATGTGATGGATCACCAAAAGGTGTCTAAAATTTTGGATAACCTATGGGTCCTGATCCTCACGGTCAATTAATCTTTTATTCTCAGAGAACCTAATATATTAGCATCCAAGGTGATATAGCCATATAGAAACACTTTCATTTCAGACACTAACAACGTAGGTGATAAAGAACTTCTTTCTTTTCTTCCCGCAATAAAAGAGGAATGAGAGAATAAATTAAGGGGAAGAAAGATAATTCCGCATTTCACACAATTGTAGCAAATAGATAATTTGTCCATCAAATTTTTTGTAATGTATATCTGACCTGTATGAAATGCTCTTGGGCATCCATCACAAAGCAACAGATTTCCACCATCCCAACAAATAATGCATATATCATCATTGTCTTTTGCAGAGTATTTTCGATCTTTTGAGAGAGATATAGCTAACTCATGGAGTGACACCCCATTTGACGTGTAAATATATGCATAACTGCCCAAAACATTCAACTTTCATTAAAATCCATAGGCACAAGGAAAAAGGAATTCCAAAAGCTGCTTAATATCCCTCCCACCACCTCCTTGAGAAAAAAAAAAGGACTCACGGTTTCTTGCGAGAAGCCCAACCTGCATGGACCTCAAACTGTGAGGGGCTGACCTGCACAACATTTAATATTGAAAGAAAATTATACACGATTTACGGATTCTTAAGGAATGCCTAGAAGCATACAAGCTAAGTATAAGGAGCAATACCTCAGTATTGCAGCATCGACAAACAATTCCAGAGCCCATTTTGAAACCTTCAAGCAATTTCTGTCAACAAGAATGTAACCATTAACAGAATAATAAGCACACAATAACTTGTACATGAAATACACACTTGAACAACCTGTCCACGTGCATAATAAGCTACTTCAGTTCCATCAGGCAATCCATTTTCCTCAAAAACTAACTTATGCAACCGCTGATCCCTTGAGAAGAATACATTGGATAAATAATTAACGATTATCATCACTAAAAGAGTGATAAAAACGCACAGCCAGATAGATACACACAAATGAAGGGGAATTAGGGAGCTTACTTCTTAGTTATCCTCCATTGACTCTTATTTTGTGGAGTTAAACACTTCGAATTTGACGTAGTTTCCGGGATCTTCAACTTCACTGACAGTGACCTGGTGGTAATAACGATTGATTAGAATAAAGAGGGAAAAAATTTATTTTTTGTAAACCTACAACTATATTATCCTAACTATTGCAAAAAAAAAAAAGGCAGTTACAAACTTTCTTTCCATCTTCCACAGAATTTTCTTCCGGGGTAGAATAGGCACAGAGGCACTGTTGGAAGAATTTGAACTGCTAATCCTTTTTGATGACCTTAATAACACAGTTTGCAGCATGTAAGTTAAAAAAAACAAAAAAAAACAACACTGCAACATGAAAGCATTCCACATAATAATTATAAAAAACATATATCAATGAAAGGAAACCATGGAAGTTTAGAAAACATTTAACCTTACAGACCATTGGTTAGTGCAAAAATATTATGCAAAATCTTCAAATATGTACTATATATAGGATAGATGAAACAGATATGAATACCAACTTTGTTCTTTTCTTCCAGTGTCTCTTAATTTGTGAAGAGATAGACAGCTCAGAAGTACTGGATGGATTGGAGACCGACACTGGTCTAGGGGACCTGAAATATCGTAATACAATCATAAAAGAAAGTCTAAAATTAAGAGAGGGCAAGGGGGCACAAAAGCATGCCCATTGCACTTTCCACATGGTTTCAAGTTTCAACATTTTGAACCTAGCTTTGACTTCCATTCTTATCCAAAATTTCATCATGATGCAGGTTATCAAACGTGAGCATATCTAATAACTTGAGTAGAAGAAATGAGTACCTGACTCTTTTGCCAACTACATCGTTCGAACTTTCTTCAGATTTCTTTGATTCCACACAAAAACAGCATATTGGCCCCACGCTTCCCACACATGAAGAAGGAAAACATCCTATGGGCAAAATAATAATTAATACTATTATTAATAATAAGAACCCAAGGAAATAAAAGAAACAAGAAAATTAAACTCCATACTATTTTCCCTCAATTTTTGCACACGAAATTATTATCAGCACGACAAACTGGACAACAAAAAAATAATGACTCTGAATAGCAGAAGAAAAGCTCACCTTTGCACCTTTTACACGTGAAATATTTTTCTTCAGGTGGAGAGCAAACAAAATTTTGAACTGTCGCCTCCAACTTATGCAGCGGAGCTCCCCTGCATGCTCTCAATAGATCAAGCAGGCTCTTCCCATTTTCGAGGCAAATATACTGTGCTGCCCTCCTATATTGTTTGCAAGCATGGATCTCGAATTGGGAAGGTGGAATAACCTACAGAGGAAGAAGAAAGTGGAAACAATAGAAAATAAATGACGGAACAGTCTCAGACCTAGGAGACAAATGGTTTGCAGAGACAGAATCAGAACTCACCCGGTGCCCATTGCACAGACAGCATGAGCACAATATTCCCCCATCTCTAATAACACCCCGTAATCCTGAAGCCTGTAATAATAATGCATCAAATTACCAATACTAAACCACCGTTGGCGGTAAAATATATTAAAGCAACGTTTTTTGAAAAAGATCACCGAGTACCAGCTAGAAGGATAATTATGAAGTAATTTTACACGATCTCAGAGCTCTAAGAGCTAATGTCTGTATTATATATCTTCTCAGTTATGCGGAACATTATTGTATTTGTGTCCCACTTTTAACGACACTTTTAATGTTATATGTAACAAAGGATTACTTTTTGGGTAATATTAATCTTACGTGACATGAGAGTAGTTCTCTTGTTACAGAGAGAATCCAAATAGGGTCTGCTATTTAAAAGCAAAAAGAAAAAAGAAGGGGCACGATTTTCGAAGTGAGAGAAAAAGAGATAACTACTTCATGTAAAATAAGAGTAGTATTTCCCTTACTTTTTACACACATAAGAAATAATATATAACAATCATTTTTTTTTTTCTCACTATTCTTTCGATATGACTTCACATAGATTTCACACACTTTTATGTATGTGTAGGAATTAATTTCATATCCTACAAAATAAAAAATACTGATATCATAAATGAGTTGGTAAATGCCTTGCTTACTCATGCAATAGAAAATCACTATTAAAATTAAAAATAGGGCTTAGCATTAAAAATAAAGAAGTGAATTAAGTAAATGTAGCTTTAAAAATAAAGAAGTGGGTACTGTGTTTCTGATTAAAGTGGGTGTAGCACTAATTCCTCCTAAGAGTACTGAAAATTTATCCCTCAAGGTGCTCCTATTAATTCCTCTTATTTACAAAAGATTATTTACTCTCTCCAAATGACTCAGTTCATTACTCACTCAATCAATAAGTCCTGACTGAATTACTCAGTTACTTTTTTTTGTTTTTTTTTATATTTTTAAAAAAACGTAAGATGCAGCATAACGCCATAATATATTACATAAAACAGAGGATAATGTTTTTTCTAAAGTAAATTTATCTCTAAATTAAACAAGTAAAAACATATCTACCATTGTTTTATTAAATTTAAAGTACACAAAACATGTCAGTTTATAGGAACTTTTTACCAAAATGTAATGTTCATCCATGCAGAGCACATGACACGAACCTTCTTAATGCCGCCCATGTAAACAACTGAGACCCCATCAAGCAAGCCTGTATCGAAGAGCTCCTTGATAGTCAAAGGCTTCTTGTTGACCACAATCTTCTTCGACATCTTCAACTCCAACTTGTTTCTCGGAGCTGCTAATGCGCTGCTACCATTTGCTACTTCAGACTCAGTCCCGGTCTTATCACCAGAGTCAACATTTTCTTTCAACGCCGATTGCCTACACCGCCTGAATGACCTCATCACAACCTCTGGAGGCTCGCTCTTCAGCTCGGAATCCACTCCATTCTCCATTTTAACTGAATGCTCTGCCTCTGCAAATGCCTTCAACCTCTTGAATTTTCCGTCTTCAGAAAAACCGTTACACGAATCCATGTACCTCTTCGTTCGAGTATAAACAATGTAACCATTCACAACAGAAACTTCCCGCATCATGCGAGGCTGATCCCGCAAAACGACTGTGGATTCGAATTCTGGCTTGACGACGACATCCATGACGAATTCAGCACCTAAATCTGCCAGAAACAGAAAATTAACAAATCGAGATATGCCCTAGGCGATCGAGAGCGAAATTGAATTAAGGAAGGAGCGGAAACGCAAGAATAGGATATGGAGGCCATTAGAGGTTGAATTGAGGAGGATTAACATGAGAATCAGTGTAGGGTTTTTGGTTTTCAGAAAAAAGCTTTGTTTTGATTGGTTTGGAAGAGAAACGAGGTGAGGAAGGAGATGAGGGGCCCACGAGTTGAGCTCACTCACTGAATCACTGAGGCAGAGAGATGAGAGTTAGATAGATAACGTGTAAGAGATTTGAGCAAAGGGGCCAATGGCAGATCTGTAAATCAATTCATTATATTAAAATAATAATAATAAAGCGTCGTTGACCGAAATGCCCCCGGAACTTCGTTATTCACTGTACAATAATACCGGTCGATATTGGGAATCGCCGTTCTAAAAAGGGAAACTATATGAAACACGATCAAAATGTTACTCTTCACCAAGTTTTTTATCAAATATCACGCGAACAGTATTATTTCGCAATATGTCACGTGGACAAGTTTGCTGGGCACTGTAGCGAACTCTGTTTGCTGACGTGTCATGTTTTTAATTGATAAAAAGTATCAAGTAAAAAAAAAAAGTATCAAGTTCGCTACATTGGGTAGCGAACTTGGTTGGAATATGTATTTCAACAACGTAGCGAACTTGGTGTCCACTAAAAACGTGACACGTCAGCAAACAGAGTTTGCTACAGTGCCCAGCGAACTTCCCCACATGGCATATTGGAAAATAACACTGTTCGTGTGGCATTTAGGTAAAAAACTTGATGAACAGCGGCATTTTGGTCTCTGTTCCAAACTATCTTGGGTCCTAGAGTGCACGCCTCTTAGCGATCTGTATTGAATTGGTTTAAAAATAAAAATTATTCAATTTAATTTTTTTGGTTTGATAATTTAATCATTCATTCAGTTTGAATTTTTTTAAAATTCAATCGAATTTTATTCACTTTAAATTCGACCAATTCTCGATTTTTCAAAAAGGAAAAGATTATATTGACAAACTTTTTTTTTTACAAACTACATTAAGTCTGATCAGTCATACATTCTTAATTGAAGTATAACTAGTCAGACTTAGTGTGGTTTGTAAGAAAAAAAGTTTGTCAATATAACCATCCCTTTCAAAAAATCTAAAATTTCAGTCATATAAATCACTAGCTATATTAAAATAAAGTCATACAAAGTTATAAACCACTGAAAAATTCAAGTCTGCACACTCATGAAGAGTTAAAATAAATTAATAGACAATAAAAAAACTAAAACTAGATAGTTTGCTATTAATAATATTCAAGATTCAAAGTCTACAAAACAACAAGATTCCAAGTCAACATCTTTCAAAGATACGAAATATGTAATACGTTGGATTAGTTTGAATTGGATTGGATCGATTTTCACCAAGGATGTTGAATCACAATACGTATCGTGTATTGTTTGACTGATTTTTTATATCGTGAATCGTGTCGAGTCATAAGTTCAGAAATATAATAAAAATTAAAATAGACTAATGAGTATAAGAAGGTGGGCCCACCCTGTCCGCGAAACAGGCGGGTTCGCCTGCCAACACGTTTTTATTTATATTTATTGTTTAACAAACCCTGCTTTGTGTGGCTGATCGTCAGATTTACTGCTGTAAATATTTCAGAAACAAGCATCTAAACAAAATGAACAATCAGATTGTGATAAATGAAAATAAGGAAACTAATCTTAAAATAATATTTGAAAATAGAAGAGTGTTAATAACAAGTTATGAAAATAACTCAATACCAATGTACGAAGTGTTTGTTAGAATAATAAACATACAAACTCAAATATTACAAACTCAAATATTTGTCAACTCTTCACCTAATATATATGTCACAAATACACACACCTCAGGAAATCGATTTAAAGGCAAATATAGAAAACATATATAGATAGTAATTTAGACGCAAATATAAGAACCTTTTTTTATGGATAAATATGGAAAATATTTATAGCTGATATAAAATGTTGGCAGTTAGAGGTGGCAAAATGGACTCGGCCGGAGGGCCGGCCCACCCCACCCGGCAACATGTTTTCATATTTTTAACTAAATTATTGTTGGTAGAGTTGAAGTATTATTGAGATTAAATACAATCCGTTAAATAAATGGTTATATATATATATATTCTAATTTTATGAATAATTATTTTTTATTTATGCAATTCAGCTAATAAATGGTCTTTTGATATTACCACATAACTTCAACTATGAAACGTTTGTTAGACTATTAAACGTACTAACTCAAATATTTTTCAACTCTTCATCTAATATATGTCATAACTACAGAAAACATAGATACATAGCAATCTAGACGCAAGTATAAGAACATTTTTTGTGTGGATAAATATGAAAACCTATTTCATGCTGATATAAGATGTTGACTGTTAGAGGTGGCAAAATGGGCTCGGCCCGGAGGACCGACCACCCCGCCCGGCAACACGTTTTCATATTCTTAACCAAATTGTTGTTGGTAGAGTTGGAGTATTATTGAGATTAAATACAATGCATTAAATATATATACATATACATATATATATATATGCATATTCTAATTTTATTAATAATTATTTTTATTTATGCAATTAAGCTAATAAATGATCTTTTGATATTACCACATAACTTCAACTGTAAAATATTTGTTAGACTATTAAACGTACTAACTTAAATATTTTCCAACTCTTCATCTAATATGTGTCACAACTACAGAAAACATAGATACATAGTAATTTAGATGCAAGTATAAGAACCTTTTTGTGTGTGGATAAATATGAAAACCTATTACATGCTGATATAAAATGCTGATAGTTAGAGGTCAACCATCCCGTCCACTAACACTTTTTTTTCCTTATGTCTAGTGTCTAACAAACCCGTTTTTGTGTGGCTAAGATAATTAGATTTATTGCTGTAAATATTTCAAAAACAAACATCTAAATAAAATGAACAATCAGCACAAAACATTTTAATTTTTTTTTCTTCATGTATATTAATTGATTTTATTTTGTAGCAAATTTTGTGTATGGATGAATCATCTAGACAATATCATATTGAAAAAGAATGCAGAGGAGAAGGTTCATTGATGGCTATATTTGAAGACTGAATTATTGAGTACATAACTATATTTGATTTGCATAATAATCGATGTCTCAGAATTGCAGAGTTTTGTTTTTGGTTGATGCTTACAAAGTTCTATGTGAATACTATAGTTTTTTCAACTTCAAAAATAGCACAAAATAACAAAACAATTATTTTTTATTTCAAATATTTCTCAAGTAACGGGTTTACATTTTTGTTTTTTGTTCCTACATGTTTATACCTCCACCATTGTACCATTCAGAGCTTCATAGCAAGATGAAGGTGTTGATTTACCCATGCGATGATTAAACAACGACGATCGACAACAATTTCGTTGTTTTTCTGCCAACGAATTTATTACTGCTGTTATTTAGAAAGATGACATCTCATTCCATCGAAGATATGTCAAACATCAATCTTACTTGCAAAGAATTTCTTCGGCTTGCAGAAAATGATTACGTGTATGAAAATGCTTCGATGGACAAGTTTGAATCGGGTCCATTGGAATGAATTACCGATAAAAAAAAAATTATTCATCAAATACCAGATAATTGTGAGCATGAAAATCGACCAGTGTACAAAGGAAAATGTACAAGATTTTCTTCAATCAATAGCAAAAGTTCAATAGAGAACGACAATTATTTTTCTTAAAACGTTGCAGGGAAAGTGGTAACCCTAACATTTTGTACCGTGGAGGATTGGTTAGTTATTTCAAACAAATTTCCAGTTTGAAGACGCAAGCATTAGCTTTTGAAGCCTTGAAGACTGCAGCACTGAAAGGTCATAGTGAGCAAGTATGTTTATTGCATGCTATTGATGAATGGTGAAGATCAAAATCAAAGAAGTTTTGGATTTAAAATTTTTTGTTCCCTGAATAAGACAAACAATTTACAACAATTCAAACAGCGGGTGAAATGTTTTTTCTGAAGCTTGTGGGGGCGTAAAGAAATTGTTCGAAACCATAACTCACATTTCTGCCATTCCAACAAATGCAAAATGCAAAACGTTTCAATTGAACGGTCCCTATGGGAAAATGATGAAGTTAATGATGGTAATGGGATTACGTGTGATTTTTGCAAGGCAGATTTTGAAGTCAATTTTTTTTGTAGAATTTCTATAGTATAGACTAATTTCATTCTTTAGATTGATAAGTTTTAAATTCTTCTGTTTGTATTCATCCTTTTTATTTTGAACAATTGCCAGTGAAAATTTAAAGTATTGCAGTATATCTTTCTATGGTGTTGTTATGAACTTCTATGGTGTAGTTATCTTTCTTTTGGATAATTATCTAATTTGTTCTCAATTCAATGCATTTGTAGAACACATTTTTTATATCAAAATGAAAGGAACTTAAGAAATAAAGCAAAAGAGCTTTTATTATCTATATTATTATTAAAATAAAGATTTTATACAAAATATGGATACTTGGTTTTTGACTATGAAAGGATAAATACCTTGGGTGCGCTGTGATAAATATTTTTTTTGACTATAATGCTATACAATCGCTTCGTGATAGTAAAAATGGTACGTAACTCTGCTTTTCCAGTTCGACAAATCGACTGATTTTTTTCCCCCGTGCATCGCACAGGTAATATACTAGTTAGTATAATAAAAGAAAACTAAACTTGAAATCGAAGCCTAAACTCTAAAGTTTGGAGACGTCTCTAATGCAAAACTATGGCTGGGATTCATTGGAAGCTTATAGCCTTTGAATGATTTTCAAAAAAAAATCTTTCTTCCCTAGAGATTGAAGAGATTTAGAATATTTATTTAATTATTTTTTTATTAATTCAGATTTTTCAGATTGATTTTTGAGTTTAAATCACAAATCAAATCTTTATTTTCTTTTCCTTATTAACAATAATTTTTTAGATTTATTATGTGATTTATATAATTTTTAAATCACAAATAAAATCGTTATTTCTTTTTTTATATTAAAAATTACAAATTTTGATTTGATTTTCATATTGTAGGATACATGTATGGTATCATATCATTTGATACGAATCCTTTTATGATATACCTTATGATACGTATCGTTGAGCTTGTGAATCGTATCGTATGGATCATATCGTGTATCGTACGATACTGATAACTATGATTTTCAC